TTATTATGTTATTTTTTATTATAAATATAATAATATAATATAATATATATAAATATAATAAATATAAATATAATATAATATAATATATATAAATATAATAAATATAAATATAATATAATAATAATATAATAATATAATATAATATTATAATAATTTTATTTATTAATGTTAGCAACACTGGACAAATTGAATGCAGCGGTCAAGGAAAAGCGACCAGAATTGGTCAATCGTAAAGGTGTCATTTTCCAGCAGGACTATGCTAGGCCGCGCACGTCTTTGTCCACTCGGCAAAAATTGATGGATATTGGTTGGGAATTGATGTTACACCCGCCATATAGCCCTGATCTCGCGCCATCGGATTACCACTTATTTCGATTCCTGGACAACTCCCTTCGTGGTAAAACTTTTAACGACGATGACGCTGTAAAATCTCACTTAACTCAGTTTTTGGCCGAAAAGGATCAGACTTTCTACGAGCGTGGAATTTTCAAATTGTCAGGGAGACGGCAAAAGGTCATCGAACAAGATGGAAAATACATTACAGATTAAACTTCGTTCCAAGTAAAACAAAATTTTTTATTTCATTGAACAAATCGGCAATTACTTAGTTGCCAACCCAATATTTTCAGAACTGGTTTAGCGCTCGGCGCCACGGTCCGAAGGAAAATAGAAATTCCGACGATACATCGCGTTACGTCCAATAAAGCTAATTCCCGACGGAATTCGTATTAATCGGGGCCGCTAAGAATTTAAGTGCTTCTATTTTCTGAGTTTTAAAGGCCGCGACGCCGACGAATCAATACATTCTTCGCTCTTTGAGCGCCGGGATGCCGCGGATTATTTGCAAACACGGTAATTAACGTTGCAGCAACCGACTCGTCCAAATATGCCGGCCGTTGTAATTGTTGTTCTAGACAGGAATTGTTCGTATACTATCGCGGGCGCGACGCGAACGAATCGTGAACAACCAATTTGTTCGCGATACAATACATCGAGTACAATTTCGTGGATCTATGGATGTATATATGTCCAATTTGGAATTTAACGCTATGTACCTATCGACATTTTGTGTATACTTATTTTATGTGTACGTTTATAGTGTATGCAGTAATGAGATTATATTCTTCTCCGGTCGATTACGAGCAATAGACAGTTAAATATTTAATTTAATTCGATTCGTTTCAATTGTTTACACATACCGGGGAACGTTTATTATTATTCACAACATTATAACGTTACTTAAACATTTATTTATTATTTTATGTATACGTATATGGTATGTGTACGCTTTGTGTTCTTTTCAAATAAACTAGAAATGAAATTATATTCTTTTGCAGTTGATCAGAAGTAATAGACAGTTAAATATTTAATTTCATTTGATTCGTTTCATTTATTTAGATATACGGGGAAACATCTATTTTTACAATAAAGAACAAAACATTGACTATAAGGGCAAAAATATTGCCCATTTAGGATGAAAAAGGAAGCCAAAATGATGAATTCGAATGAATTTCAAGATGAAGATTTCTATATAATTCAGATTAATTTGATTTAATAAAGATCTGACTTTGAATTACCTTTAACAGCACAATTAAACAATTTTCAAGCATCACAATTAACATTATATTTATCGAATAGGAAACAATACATTTTCTTATTCAAAACTAGTCCCAATGAAAGAATACAACAATTTGTCAAAAAGCAATTAATCATCCCACAATAACCGGCTGTCTCTACTACCTTAACACGTTCACACCGAGCAAGTTCTGTCCTAAAACGAACACAGTAATGTCTCCCTAACTGGCGCTCAGATTGTGCAGAAAACTGGACAATTTGCGAAGAGTAAATACGATTATTCGAGCCTTGCGTCTCGTTCTTATAATCGTTGACAATTCCTAACTATAAAAACAAACCGGAAGGCTCGAACAATCGTATCTGCTCTTCCCAAATTGTCCATTTTTGTGGACAATCCGAACGTCGATTAGAGAGACATTACTGTATCCCTAAAAACGCGAAATTTCCATAGCGTTCTGCACTTTTTTTTCTGCATTGCATTCAAGTGAATATTCCGTCCATGCAGCTAATAATGTACGGGGAACGTCGGCTGGCCAACGAAGCGGTACGATTTCTGTAAGAATAAAGTAACGGTGAGAATAAAAGAAGCATAGAACGCGCCCGATGCCGAACAGACTGCCGTAGCATAATAGCTCCCGAAAGAACAGTTAGGCCGGATGCTGTTCTTTCGGCAGTGTCTGACGAGGCACGGGGATATACCACTGTCAGCCGAAACGTACGGCTGCGCCCGTTATATTGGCTGGTAGCGTCCGATAAATTGCGCGGCCGCATCACTGCGCTTCTCGTGATACACGGAGTTGCATTATGTCCGATCAGTGCTCAAGATTCACCACTGACTGGGCGAAAACGCTCGCATACCGCTGGCGTCGGACACAGGGCGATATTGCTGCTTTGCTATCCGAGCAAGCCTTTCCATTCCAGCAGTGTATCTCTCTAGTGCACTCGGCAACCACAAAATAACAACTGTTTCATTGGGAAGACTGAATACACAGCACGGCCGTGAATTGTGCTACGCTACCCATACGTTCCGTCCTCTCTCCTGCTCATCTACCCATTTCCTCTCTCTCCCTCTCTCTCTCTCTCTCTTTCTCTCTGTCTCTCTTTCTCCCTGTCTCTCTTTCTCTCGGTCTCTCTTTCTCTCTCTTTCTGTTTCAATCCGTATCTCTGTATTCCTCTCTGTCTAGGCATCCCCACCGAGGGCCCACGGCAACCCATCTTTTTTCCCGTTCAGAACTGCACAGTACGCGTGCATGGAACGCTGGATGTACTGGCACGCTTTCAAAACACTCCCGGTTGAACAAGCAGCCGGATAAACCGCGGCTGTGGCGTGCACGGGTTACAGACGAAAATCGTTAATACCCGGCGGATCTTTAAATAAGAAGCGAGCGAGCAAGCCGGCGGCGCGACCGGATCGAGTCCGTTCGCCGGAAATTATTCGCTCGCCCCTGGCCTCGCCTCGCACCCTTCCCCCCTCCCCCCTCTGGGCCCTCGCCGTGCCCTCCCCGCCGTCTCGAACGGGATCGATATGCCGGTTTTCAAACGGGGAAACTCGCGTTTCGTCACCGAAACGCTTTCGGTCTCCCGTATTTAAAGCGTCTCGATAGACGGGATAATCGAATCGATCTCTCACGGGCACGCGCGACCTTTGACCTCGTCGCGCCGCGGCCCGAAGCGCCGCCGCGCGGCCTGCAGATATTCAACCAATTCGGTTCCCTGATTTCTGGCCGGCGTGCACGGTCCCGGATCGGTCAATTAATATTTATAGGACGGAAAGAAGTGACATTTCCGCGGTTCCGATACCGTCGTTCATCATTCACCGTCGTGTGTGTACCATTATTTATTTATTTATTTATTTATTTATTTATTTATTTATCGATATATTCTTCTGCGGGAACGTTGCGTTAATGTGCGAGGAATTAATCGAATTTTACCGCATGCCGAACGCCGCTCGCTAAATAGAAGAGATATCGTTAATCGTTTAGCCGTTTCCGACGAGTATACTCGGCGCGAAGAATTGACAATATTTTGTGTCACGATACGGTATACTGGCCGTGCGAATATAGCAGTTAGAATTTAATGTTCAACACGTTCGCGGACAGTATACATTTTTATGAGCCGCTTTAAATAGACGGGTGATTTGTTCTCACGCCGTTCCAGTAGCGTGCGTGATAATTGAAAAGAATCGACGCTACGTAGAATTGAATGCACGATAATGTAGTCTATAAATTTGAATGTTGTAGCATCCGCGTCATTTTGCATCACAATCGAAATTAATGGTATCCAAACGAATGCTATTCACGTCCGCGTGCGGTAAATAAATTGTTCGTAAATTTCAAGACGTTACGAATATTCTACGTCGGCTGTTTTCGACGAGCATACTCGTCGCGAAGAATTGGCAATATTTTGCGTTAGGACGAGTATACTCGTCGCGCGTAAAAATTTGCTGGTTCGATTCGCAATTTTAGTGCAGATGTTTCGTATATTTTTCGAGGCCAGAATCAAACGAAACGAACACATTAAAAATACAAATAATTATTGTGAGAAATGAGTGTATACTGTCTGCGTTGAGTAGTATACTCTTCGTCGTTTACTTTTCTTGACACACTTCAGGTGCA